TAAAAAAAAAAAAAAAAAAAAAAAAAAAAAAAAAAAAAAAGAATAATAGTCACAACTGGTCAAATTGTTCAAAGTACGTGACTATTGAACCCTAACGGAGCATCTGTAACACACCCAACCAGGCTCCAAGAACATCTTCGAAGAGAGGGATGGGAAAAGATGTAAGAGCCAGGGGCTAGGGAGGAGAGCTGTGAACTGCTGTCATCTTCTGGGTATGCCATGGCTCTTGTATCCCTTCACAACAGCAACAGTGGTCACCTGTACAAGTCTGGGTCCATCAACATCCCACTGTGGACAAGGAATGCACTCGAGAGACCCCACCATTCTCTGGGGAGCTTGAGGCAGTTGCAATTGCTGGGGGTGGGGGGTGGGGGGTGGGAGAGGCAGATTTCTCAGTGTGTTGCCCTTGCTCAAGTAAGGCTCATGCAAGCAACCCAGAGTAGAAAGGGGACTTGTTGCGAAGAAAAGGTTTGGTGGGAAGGGAAAAGACTAAGAGGATAATGTGGGAGGATATGATCAAAGTATGAATTGTGAAAGAATCATTTTCTTTTTCTGGGGGGGGAGGGTTGCCTTTTTTTTTTTTTTCTTCCCAAGTTAGGGTTTCTCTGTGTAGCCCTGGATGTCCTGGAACTCACTCTGTAGACCAGGCTGGCCTTGAACTCAGAGATCCCCTGCCTTTGTCTCCAGAGTGCTGGGATTAAAAGCGTGTGCCACCACAGCCAGCGGAAAGATTCATTTTCAAAAGGAAATAAAACGTAGTTTGACATAAGAAAACAATGAGGGCTGGAGAGATGGCTCAGAGGTTCAGAGCGATGGCTGCTCTTTAGGAGGACCCTGTTTGATTCTCAGCACCCACACGGCAGCCCACAGGGGCTCCACGCCCTCTCCTGGCCTCCATAGGTGCCAGGTATGCATGTGGTACACAGACACACATGCAGGCAAACACCCTGCACTACCCATCAAAAAAAAAAAAAAACCCTATTTAAAATACTCAGTTAAATGTGAATTTCAGATAAAAAGAAAATACTTCTATAAAAGTAGGTTTGCAGCTGGGTGTTGGTGGTGCACGCCTTTAATCCCAGGGCTTGGGAGGCAGAGGGAGGTGGATCTGTGAGTTTGAGACCAGCCTGGTCTATAAGAGCTAGCTCCAGGACAGCCTCCAATGCCACAGAGAAACACTGTCTCAAAAAACCAAAAGTAGGTTTGTGCAGTATTTGGGATGGGATATAGTTGTAAAATTAACTAACATTCACATTTATCTGGTGACACCAGGTTAGGCAGTTTGCCAGTGCCCAGTCTGGGCATTACCTATTTAAACTGCTATCACAGGAGTTTTGGGTCAACGGGGAATGCCTTTATCTTTTGGAGATATGCAGCCGTGTGTTCATTCTGTTTGTTTTTGACCGGGTCTCACTATGCTGATCAGGCTGGAATCAAACAGGCCCTCCTGCTTCTGCTTGAGTACTAGGGCTAAAGGCTTGCATCATCATGCTGGGAAGAATGTATCATCACCTGGATATATTTTAGGGAAAGTCTAACAGGAAAGTTTGTTTCTATTACCTCTCCTAGTATTAGCTACCAGTAAACTTTATTTTAATAAAAAAAATAAAGACAAAAGACATTTTATTTAGCAAGACTGAAATTAAATCCAAGATATAAGTATATTCACATGAGACCTTTTGTGTTGTCTAAAATAATTCCTGGAGTTATTAACCCAAGGTAATTAACCTATTATTCATGGAATGATTAATATAACAAGAATCATTTTTCAGCTATAAAGGCTCACTAATGCCCTTGGGGCACATTGAAAAAATTGCTATGACTATTCAATCACCAGTTTACACACAAGTATAGATAAAAAGGAATGGAAGTAAAGACACATGATTGCCCTTTACAGCTTTTATAAGTAAATAAACAGTGGCTAGAAACCCACTGAAGACAACCACTGAAATTTACAGAGTAGCTATTTGTCAAGGTACAGCTTATCAATTTCCAACTCAGTTCTACAAGATACAATTACACCCACAGTCATTTATGAAACATCTGCCTTCTTTAGATCACTGTATTACTCAGATCATTCAGTGGTTCCCTGCTCCTCAACTTAGCAACCACACTGATTCCTCTATTTTTAGTTATAAAAAGTTATTAAACTTATGCTTCCTTACAAACATTGACCATATATTGGAAAGCGACTAAAAACTGTTCTGAATAGGAATTGCTTCTGTGAAGTTTAGTGAGTGAGAAATATTTTACCAAGGTGGCTGTGCCTTGGGGAAATCCTACAAAAACTGAATTTTACAAACAAGTTACTTATTTTGATAGAAGTTCTCTATATAAATAGCAGCCATGACTTCACTGCCTGCTTATCACGTTTCACATCTTTCAAATTTAAATGCTTTACAATCAGATTTTCTAGTATTACAAAAAACAAAGTCATACAGACAGATGGGCTACGTGTCCCATTCTAAAAAGACAGCTGAATTCCATGATTTTACTGCTGGGACAGATACCAACATCTACTGAATTTGTGTTAATGACATGGGAACATTCACATGTTTTGTTAAAGAAGTGACATTCAAAGGTGGGGAAGCAGCACTTGCAGCAGGACTTTACGGAGGCTCTTTGTGATAAGGGACCAATTATCTGAACCTAAGTAGCAGCCAGACTTTCAGACTTACTCCTGCACTGACTCCAGTGAAATAGTGTTTCTGAGGCTCAGGAAGAAGAGGGGATGCTGGCTATGGCAGGTTGCTCTCAACAAGTGATTATCAGCAGCAAGTGGGAGGAAGATGAGTTGGTCTTGGGAGTGGGGGGACCCCACTTTCGCAAGAACTTCTGAGCACATTGTATCTATCCTTTCCAGGAACACTTTGTAGTCTGTACAAAGTGTGACCAGGACCAGTGGCCTGAGAAATCTCTGTACAAGGAGTTAGAACAGGGAAGGGCAACATCTCAAGTGTGCTTCTTTCCAGTCAGGCCAAATGCTAGCCAAATACCCGACAAGCCTAGTGCCAGTCACTTAGAAGCAAATTGGCCTGACTTATTTTCTGGTATCAATCCTCATTTTTGGTTCTATATCATATAATTATAGTATTCACCTAAAGATAACAATAGGTGCTTTGTGTGTGTGGGAGGGTGGAGGGGGGAGCAGCTAATAACAAGGCCAAGTCCTATGTTGGAGCTGGGCACAGTTACACAGGGTACTGCCATGGCAGCATTAACTCTGCATAGCTGCCGTACACAAAGGTCTTCTGTGCAGCACTCACAGGCCATACAAGTTGTAGCCCTGCTCCCACCCAATTTCAGGATCTAAGAAATACTGTTCTTTCATATTTGTTCTTCCCATCCTGAATCTCCTAGGGTGACTCTTTGTTTTCCTAACTAGCAATGAAAAACAAAACATGAGGATTCAATGCTGCCCACAGGGCATGGGCATCAACTCTGACTTGCATCTATGTAGCTGCTCTGGATTTCAAAGATCACTATCAATGTGTCAGATAAACCCCCAGCACACGCCATAGGCACTACTACTTGTATACCTACTGGCTGGCTCTTTCTCCTCCAGTGTCAAGAGCTCTTCAATAAAGAAGCTCTATAATGATAAGGTCTTAAAGGTATACTCCTAAGTAGTCAAATAGTACTACAGTGCCTAATGGTATAAGGGGACTACTTCATCAGCCAGTCAGACACTTGCTCCCATCTTGATGCTGAGTGGAACTAATGGATAGATTATTCAAGAAGAAATCAAATCACAGATCAGGTGAAAATCTGAAAAAGGAGTGTGTGGGGTGACTGAGCCCTGCTGCGGTGAGATGTAGTCAGAAAACACTAGGGCAAGAGTACAGTGTATAGAAAATCTTGCAAAACCTAGCACCAGGTTCTTCCGAAGGAGGGCTCAACCCAGCTTAACTCGAGAGTAACCCACTCGCACTGTTAAAAAGCCCAGCAGACCACTGCTCTCTGTGGCTCATGTGCCATAGCAGATGCCTGGTCAGTTGGTAGCCCCACATGCAGACAACGCTGCCTTCATCAGAGGCAAGGAAGAGAACTGTGGAACCAATTTTCCCATGAAGGAAATCAAACCATGAGGAAGCAGCAGTCACACATTTCCCACTAAGCTGGTGCCTGCAGGTCAGAGGTCAAACCTAGGATGTACACACCTTACCAGAAGTCATATAACCTACTTACCTGAATTAAAATAAAAAACAATTCTCCATCTGCTCTCCCTTCCCAGAAGGGGGGTAGATTCATGTCCACTTCTTCCTTTTTTACCACAGTAACTCGAAGAGTCTAAGAAGGTGGTGTGGGAAGGAGGAGCATTCTGTTTCATCTTAAAAAATAAAGCTCTCTCTAAGCGTCACAATCAGAGGTTGTATACATTTTTTTTTTTTTTTCAATTATCCTTTGTGGTCACCTCTAGGGGCTCATCTTCTAAGCTGAAACCCAGCTTGTCAGTCAGCCCCTCAAACTGCTTGCCCAGTCTACCTGAAGAGTCCATAAACATGTTGGGGATGTCTTTGCCAAAGTAAATCTTGCTGTTGGAAGCAATGGCCTTGTACTTCATCAGCTGCAGATATTCTGGAGTCAGCTTGAGCTGTAATAGAACAGTGAAGAAAGCTTAGGAGAGATGACATTAGAGAAAAATTTGGTGGCAATCTTTCAACTTTCACCTGGAAAGGGTCTCTGTCAAGCAGACATGCTCCTTCTACCTTTCACAGTCTTCTTCCTGTTACCCAGAAACCATTTTTCTAGGAGAAAGTAATCTAAGGTCTTATGACAGAGTAGCAATAGTTTCAAGAGTTTCCATGTTTAACACAAAAATGGAACTTCTACTAAGGCTTCCCACCTAAGAAAAGTGACTACCTCACATAGCACATAGTACTCCTCAGTACTGTTGTGCAGACTCTGAGTAGGGAGTGGCAAGTCAAAACACATCCTCAGTATTGTGGGATCAGGTCTTTACCTTATTTGCTTCTGCTATTTTCAGAGCAGTGTAGCACTCAGCATCAGCCTTCGCCTTCTCCCGGGCCAGAAATGCAGCATCTAAGGGATGAAGGGTGCAGGGAAATGGATCAAGTAAAACAACACAAGGTGCAGAAGCCCGTGCTCTGGGGCTGGCAATTATAGATCAGTGGGCTAGCACTTGCCTGGCATAAACAAAGCCCCAGCTTCCATTCCTGGCACTGCAGAAAACAAAAAAACCAACAAAGACATTTCCTGGTCTCTATGAGCTTGGAGAGATGCTTTCTGTGTGTTTTGTTTTTGAAATGGCCTCACCTTATAGCTCAGGCTAGTCCTGGACTATGTAGCCTTCCTGTTATACAGGGAAAGCATTTCTCAAAAACAAAGTAACCTAAGATCTTTAAGACAGTGGCAAGAGTTTCAATTTAATTCAAAAGGAAAACCTCTACCTTGGCATCATTCTGCCTCAGCCTCTTCAGTGCTGGGATTACAGACATGCACTGTCATGCCTGTCATGGGTCCACCCTAAGACTGAATATCACAAATGAAAAGTAGCTCAGTTCCCTTTCCAACTTCATTTCCCCAAAGTGATAAAGCTGGCAACTCTAGAATTACATATGGTGGTCCAGAGGACACTGTTTAGATTCAGACCTGCTTCATCTCATCGTGCAGCAGTGCACCTCCCTGCTCAGTGTTGATGCACCACTCAATGCTGAGCTCCCTGCCTTGGGAATGCGCCAGCCAGCCTCAATCCAGTCACATCGGTCTCAAAATATTCAGGGACAAAGGTCACTCTTTGCTGATGCTGTTTTGTGGTTATTACTGTTTCCTTTAACCCTTTAACAAATTAAAACCTTTTAATGATTACCTTCATTTATTATTTAGGGGCGGGGCATGCACACCATGCACATGTGTAGATATCAGAGGATAACCTGGGGAAATCAGTTCTCTCCAACCACACTCAGACTTAGGCCCTCAGGCCCAGCATCGAGTGCTTTCACTGGCTGAGCCATTTCTCGGGTCTATTGCTGGTGACTTGGACAGAGTTTTTCTCTGTGACCCCATGCTGGCTTGGAATGCTAAATCTTCCTGTTCTACCTCCAAAGTCCTAGGATTATAGGTTTCACCATCCAAGAGAACTTTAAGTCCTTACTTTCTTCATTGCTGTCTGCTGAACCCAGGGCCTTGAGCATACAAGGCAAGTATGTTAGACTCTGAGCTACACTTTTGGGATATCTTACTGCACCCCAGCATGACATGTCTTACTAAAGATTTATTGATTTTTAATTATGTTATCTGTATATGATTTTGTGCATGTAAGTGCAGATGCCCATGGATCCCAGAGGTGTCAAGTACTTCTGGAGTGGGATTTAAAGGTGGTTGTGACCTGCCCAATGTGGGCACTGGCAAATGAACTCAGTCCTCTCTCAGCACCTCTCTCAGCCCCATGACAAGTATTTATAGGAAATGAAAGCATTGTTTTACTAAGAGCTCCCTGGTGAGAGATCAGCTCCTCAGTGGGTCCCTGCAAATCCTGCAGGCTCCCCTTGACAGTATATTACACAGAACACTGTGCCCTGAAGCTTCCCTGAGGATCCACTTTTGTCCTGGAAATCGAGTGACAAAAGCACCAAGTGAAGCACAGTGAGGGGAACTGAAGGTGGGCAATGGTCAGAAAGCTAGCAACATTACTTCTCCTCAGCTCCAGAGCTGCTGCTGCTGCTGCTGCTGAAAAGCATCGCAGTACCCAAATGGACCTGGACAGCAAACTGAGATGAAAACAATGCAACCAGCTCACTCCCCTTCCCTTAACAGGATCCTGCTGTGGCAGGACAGAGGTGTGCACCAACATGCCTGGCCCTAGGGGACTTTTGGCGAGGAGGTAGCAAAGGCAGGGGAGGGCTGCTGTTTGAGCCCAGTGTCAGAGTTAATACCCAAAGCTCAGAGATACCTGCTCACCTGAGCTTCAGGTCAACAGGGACCATTATGTCTCTTTTCTTCACTTTCTCTCCTATTGAGACAGGGTCTTCCTCCGTAGCCCAGGATGTCCTCTGACTCATTCCACCATTCTGCTTTTATCCCAAGTGCTCAGACTATAGGAATATGTTACCATGTCTGGACTGACACCCTTGCTCTCAGTCCTATTTAATAAATGACTTACTTACAAACATTTATTTGTGTGTGTGTGTGTGTGTGTGTGTGTGTGTGTGTGCAAGCATGCCATGGTGAGTGTACAGAGATCAGATGACAACTTTCAGCAGTTGGTTCTCTTTCCACCATGAGAGTTCTGGATATGGAACTCAGGTCCTTAGGTTTGGCAGCAAACACTTTAACTCACTGAACCATGTCACCGGCCCTTGATTTCTTTTTCATTTCTAACAAATTGCCCAGTACGTAATCAACACAACTGACACTTGCTGAGTAAGTGTTCCGTGAAGATCTGCTTACTGTGCAGGGTTGGTTCAAAGTTCTAAACCCAGGTCTAAGCAGAGGAGAGCTAATTTCAGAGACATCACACACCCCAGAATAGAGACTAAAGAGCACAGGAAATGACTCAGTCACTGTGCTCCGCCAGGCACGAAATCTCGTTTACTCACCTTCAATTTCTGAAATCTTCTTCTCCGTCTCCTTTTCCATCACCTTCTGCCCATAGGTGATTTCTGCAACCTGAGCCACTTTTTCTGCCTCTGAGTAAATGACGTAGAGAAACGATTTAGTGCTGACATGCCAAAAGCCTGGCTAGGGCAGTGAGATGGCTCAGTGGGAAAAGGTGCCTGCCAGCTGTCAAGCCTGATGATCCAAGTTCAATCCTAGGACCCACATGGTGGAAGGAGAGACCTGATTCCCACAGGCTGTTAGCCTCCACATAAGCAGCCATGCATGCATGTGCCTATACACTCACACATAGAGAGTCAATGTAAAAATAGAAAACCTGGATTGGCTGTACCTTCCCCTGACCTGAGTGCCCTAATAATTGAATGGGTATGCACACAGAGCCAAGTCCACAAGGGGCAGCTGCAATGGGCACACCTGAGAGACGAATGTTCCAGTGAGCATATGAGTACATCAGCATCAAACAGTAACTGGAGACACTGACCCAGGAGAAATGCATGCTTCCTGAAGTGAGGGGTATGGATGGCCTAACTTCTCTCCCAAGCCAACACTTTAAAGAATTAAGTTCCACCTGACACCCACTCTAGGAAACAGCTCAGGTGACTGCTGTGACCAGAGATCTGGAGCAGAGCTCCAATGTGTCCTCTTATTTGCCACATGTTTACAAATTTCAGAGTTCAGTAAATCAAAGCAAGCACCTCAAGAAGGTTGAGTGGGTAAAAGTGCTTGCCAGACAAGTCTGGCAACCTTAGCACACAGTGCAAGGAGTGAAGCAGTCCACAAAGTTGTTCTCTGACCTCCACAACTGTGCCGTGGTATATGAGCTCCTACTTACAGGCACATTATCACACACACACACACACACACACACACACCTGTGCCATGGCACATGAGTTCCTACTTACAGGTACATAACACACACACACACACACACACACACACACACACACACACACACACACACACACACACACAAATATATATTAAAATTTAAAAACCAACCAAACAAAAAAGTCCAAGCAAATGACAGTACTTTCCTCTAGTGGTAATATGCCAACTGAGTCACTTCACATTTGAAAAACTCAAGACTCACTACCTGTGTCCACCATCGGACCTTTTCCACTTGGCTCCCGGGGATGAATGCCATCCCAGCACACTGGAGGCATTGTGGAGGACTTAACTGTGCCCTGGCCTTCCTTACACTATTTCACTATTCCCACCCCTTCTTCCCTGAAGGAGGATTAGAGAACCATGTGCAGACCAATAAGGGCCTTCTTCCTCTCTGTCTCGGCCTCCTTTTCTACCACCTTCTGTTTCTGGGCTGCAATCAGAAGCTTCGTCTTCTCGCTTTCCCTGGAAGGAAGAAGCACACAGCTGTGAGGCTGTTCTGGACAGCTTCTGGAGACCTTCAGTGCTCCCTGAGAAACCCAACCTGGCTGAGAAGAAGCCCACTAGGGCATCTTTGTGCTCCTGTGCAGGGTGTTCAGTGGCTCAGCCTTTATTGATCTGTTGTTAGGCTTTCTTTCGTGAGAAATAAAACTCAACGCCTCCATGTACGTATGCTTGGAGTCCCAGAGACTCGGGAAGCTGAAGCAGGACAGCTTGAGCACAGGAGCTTGAGGCTAGCCTGGACACTTAACACGGCCCACTCAGAGTAAAACACAACAGTAACATTCTACTGTAATAAAGCAGACCTGCTGGCAAGCTGACCTGTCTGTCCCTGCTATTTCCAATTCTGCTATAATTCTTTTGTTGTTTAAAAAGCCTCGCTGCTCTCCAGGGCTGCTCTGAGTCCTGAGTGCTGACATACCTGCCCAACCTTAGAGTACAAAAGACTAACAAATGCTCGAGGAAGGGAAAAATTGGAGCTTGCTGCTCTGGGATGGATTGGGGGGAAGTTCAGAGTGGACAGCTTAGGCACAGGGCATACTCACATCAGCTCATAGTTCCTGCGGATTGCCTCAGGTATATTGGGCTTTGTCACTCGTACAGCCTGGAGAAGGGCACAAATAACAACTGATGGGAGAATGCAAATGGCCAGGGACATACGCTCCAATGGGCTCTTGGTGTCCTGTGCTAAAATAGTGTCCCTTAGGAGAGAGCACGAAATGTCAAACACAAGCACTCCCCACTGGGACAATGCTTACCTGGATAACAAGCCCTGGGGCCATGGAGGTCAGGTCCTGTTGCAAAGCCAACTTGAGGTTTTCATCAATTTGATCTGGAATCAAGAAAGACACAAATGGAAATGTTAGATTGTCTGGGTGAGGAGAGAAGAAAGCACGAGTGAAAACACTAGCCCACTGACTGGTGTTTCCGAAACAGTGTATATAACAACCCAGGAGCCTAAGTTGAGACCCTGGAGCAGTCCTCCATGAAGTGAGAGCTAAGTGAAATCTCTCACTTTGGCCTCAAAATAAAGCCTCTTCATTGTTTAAAACATCAGCCAGACTTTCCAGGAGGAGGGTAGAATAGCCATGTCAGGTTTTCAGAAAAGAAGCAAGGAAAGCTGGGCATGGTAGTACATGCCTATAACCCAGCACCTAGGAAACTGAAGGAGAACCATAGGGCTGGCCTGGGCTATACTAGGAGATCTTGTCACCAAAAGGTAGTTATTAAATTTAGTAATCTTATTAGTTACAACACAAAACAAGGGGCTGAGAGATAGCTCAGTGTTTAAGAGCACTTGCTACAGTATTATAGATATTATCAAATCAAGAATCAATTTTGGAGGTATGGGGAGAGGGGCCTCCAGCATCATGGAGGCTGAGGCAGGAGTGTCATAAATCTGCAATCATTCTAGGTTACACAGTGAGTTTTGAGTCAGTCTGAGCTACAGCCTAAGACCCTGTAGCAAAAACACACATCACTTGCTGCTCTTCCAGATGACCCAAGTTCAGTTACCAGCCCCATGTACCACTCATAAGCACCTGCAACTCCAGCTCTAAAGATCCGATGTCCTTGCTGGACTCTGCAGACATTTTCCCACCCATCTCACATGGCACAAACCTACCATTGCCACCACAAATCCCTGGCACCCTGCACTCAGTGGGAAGAACACTCAAGTGACAGCAGGGGAGGAGGGGGTCTGGCTGCAGCTCTGCTGTCTACTAGCAACAGCTCTCCCGCTTTCTCGCTCTTGGCCCCAGTACACTTATTTTAAAATGAGTGTGTTAGGCTATGTGGCCTTGTCAGAGTATTCTAGAAGCCACTGCACTCTCACAATAGAATAGTAGTCCTTGGACAGTGAAAACATTTCTGTTCCAGTCCTCTGTTCAGGCCAGCAGGGACTCCTTTATTATACTCTTACTCCGGTGCTATGTCTGACTATTCTCCAAAGATCTTCCCACTGTTCTCAACATCTTAGTTTTTCTTTTTGGGGGGTTATCTATTTAGGAAAATGCTTACTTTGTATCCCAGGCTGGCCTTAAACTTGCTTTCCTCCTGCCTCAGCCTCCTGAGTGCTAGGATTACAGGTAAAGACCACCATGCTTGGCTGCTCTTGGCATTATGTGGAACTCTCTTGGTGACTGGCTCCTGTGTACTTCCCATTCTATGGTGTGGAGCTCAGAAGCAGACAGATATAGGGCTGCTGAAGGCTGACAGGTCTCAGGGAGAAGGGTAGGGTGACACTGATGATGGCCACATTCTTACCAAACAGCTCGATGTAGACTTCCTGAAGTGTATGCACGCTGCAAAACTGGTTGAGCTCATGATGGATCTTGTTGAAGATGAGGGCTTTGTCATAGTCTGCAGTATAGTTCTTCACTATATCATACACTGTGGGGAAGGAGAGGGCTCAGCATAAGAAAAAGTCAAGACTTCAAACCTCTCAAGACTTCCTCAGCTTCCTCATTTCTCAGTTCTTGTGCCCACAAATAGCGTGGGCATGTGCAGGGCCAAACTGGAAGACATACCTGCATTTGGGACCAGGAAGTTCACCACTTCAATTCTATCAAAGTAGATCATCACACCACCACTGTTGGAGGGAGAATCGGCAAAGAAGTTACCAGTGAGCTCTGGAATCTGGTGACATCTCCTAAGGAGAGGGCTTAGACACGTGACTGGAAGGACAGGAGTTTAGCGTTCATGGGATGTGAGGCAGCTCACACCTCCGAGTAGATGTGCAGAGCTTATAACCCCCACAAGGAAACAGCAAGACCTTTGCAGCGTGAGGAAGAAAGGATAGCTCTTATCTTTTGAGTCTCTAGTATTTTTTGATCAAAGCAAATGACTACATGGAAAAGAATAAAAGGATTAACAGGCTTCACGGTGCACTGGGTGCCCAGAAGTTTGTCTCTCATCCTGGCTTCACCAGTACTTCATCTTGGCACTGCCTTTCCCTCACTATTCTCCAGGCCACTGTATTTCATTGCAGCTGTCAGTCAGTCCTTCCTCTTACAGGCTGGAATTCATCAGCTTTCCTCTTGGTAGCTTACCTGGTCCCACATGGTACATTCTTCACTTCATCTGTTTGGAGAGTGGTCTAGAGACAGAGGAAACATCAAATCATGTAAACAGGCAGTGACAGAGACCAACCTACTATTTGGAAGCCCCAAAGCCTTTGTAATTGACTGCTTGTTTGGACTGAGCTTTGCCCTTGCTAAACAGGACTGTCTCACCTAATCCCCCTTAACAGGCTGAGATTTGAAACCAAGCAAAAGTACCTACTCTGGTACTCCTGTGCCTGAAGCACATATGAATGGGCAGGATCATAAAGAAATGGCACTGAGTTTGGAGCCTGATGAGTGTGTCTTCCTAGTGCTGAAGCAGCAGACTCCCTTTCTGACTGCTTTCTGGATACAGTAGCTGTTCAGCATTACTGTGAGCCTCAGATAAGAAAAAGCACCCAGCATGCTGTGAAGTCCATCAGCAAGGCAGAGGCAAGCCACTCACAAGGGCAGGTGAGTACTGTGCTGGGCTATTTTCATGTTCTCCCTCCCTCTCACTCTTTTGTGCTGGGAACTGAGCTCAGAGCCTGGTGTACACTAGCCTCTGTCCCTATCTGTCTCTGTGTGACATCCCCAGCCCCTTGCTGGGTTGGCTGAGTTTTCTTAGTTGGATATATTCTAGAGATGCTAAGTCTACCTCAGCAGGGAGGAGGTTAGGTACAACTAACTATAACTTCCTCCCATTTTCCATGGCATTGGCCCTTACCCAACCAACTTCCCTCCCCATGCAATTACGTTCATATAATACAAGCAAAATTCCATGTTTTATCTCCACCTGTCAGGTAATCTGTGATTTAATATATACAAATACCCAACTTTTCTTCTAAACATTCATAACAAATTCTTCTTAAGTAAGGAAATAATTTCCACTTGGGGCTGACAGGCCAAGGCAAGGCAATGGCTCCATCCAGCTATTTTAATGGTGAAGTAATATCACAAGAGCCCCTGCCCCTGCCTCTCTCTGGGTGTGTGTGTGTGAGAGAGGTCCTTAAGAAAGCCTCTGAAAAGGCATTTGATTCATCTAACAGCTAAGTAATTTCAAATTGTGTATGAGTCAACAACCCGAATATGTATGTAGTGATCCAACCGCACCACACACCGCATATACCTGTACAGACTTATAGGATGTGATGAATGGGAGCATGAGATGGAAGCCGGGGCCACTGGTGGAGGTCAGCAGGGCACCACCTCTGTAGAGGGGGAGAGAGGGGGTTCAATATCTCAATCAGCTCTTAAATCAGTGCTTCTCAACCTGTGGGCCACAACCCCTCTTGGGGGGGTTGAACAACCATTTCACAGTGGGTGCCTGAGACCATCAAAACCACAGATATTTACATTATGATTCATAATGGTGGCAAAATTACAGTTATGAAATAGCAATGAATATATCTATGGCCAGGGGTCACAACACCATGAAGAACTGAAAGGGTCACAGCATCAGGAAGGTTGAGAATCACTGCCTCAGATCAATACTTATGGGCCAATCATCTCTCTTCTCCTTTAAAATTTAATGTACAGTGACACATGCCAGTGACATGCCCACCCCTTCTCCCTTTCTCCCTTCTGTCTCAACTCCAACACTCTAGGGAGCCTGATGGGAAAACAAAAAAACATTAGTCATACTTTTTCCACCAGAAAAGTAAATATGCAGATGAAGCAAAACAAGGACAGCAGAATCCCTGGCTACACAAGGGTAACACAGAAGTCTGTCCCAGCTGCTGGGCCTGTGGCAGTCACCAAAATGTTAAACCCAGTAATACAATCATCAACGAGGAGCATTTCTGTTGGAAGGCCACAAGCAATTAAAACAATAATTGTTTTGGCAGTGCTAGGCTTGAACCCAGGTTGTCACACATTGTGGTAAAGTATTGTCATGAGCTACACCATGTTTCAGAAGCATCTGGGGACTCACATACGATATCTCACTATTTTTGAGACAGATTTTGCTACATAGCCCTGATTTCTGTAGTACTTGCTATATATAGCCCAGGATGACCCAAAACTTATAGGAGCCTTCTTGCTTCAGCCCTCACCCAAGTGGTGGAATTACAGGTGTTGAGCCACCACACTTGGTTCAAGAATAATTTTAAAGTCACTTCAATACATGTTAAGTATACAATATATGTTTTGACACATGTATATTTCTAATCAAGCTGTATATGAGTGACAAAATTAAAAGCTTTGGGGGAAAAGAAAGCAGAGGGTAGAGACAAATTACTAAAGAGGAAGTGGGAACTCAACAAAAGTTTAAACCTTTTTATTATTATTTTTTAATTAGTGGTCTTGAGTATGCTAGTCAGAAGCACTTCCACTGAGCTACAATTCTAACTCAACGAGCATCCTGGAGCTTGCTGTTCCATAAATAAGCACTAAATAAGACCCATATAAAAGAAGGGCTCAAGCCGAACATGTCGATGCCTGCATTTAATCCTAGTATTTGGGAAGCTTGGGCAGGTAAATCTCTGTGAGTTCAAGTCAACCTGGTCTACACAGACCATTTCAGACTAGCCAGAGCTACACAGTGGGACCCTCTCTCAAAAATGGGGCAGTGGATAAAGGCTGGAGGTGTAGTTCAGTGGTAGAGTGACATGAGTTTAATCCTTGACACCACAAGCAAAACTATCAGCCTAGCAAATTGCCCCTTCTAAACCTAAAACGAAAACCTTAGTCGAAGAAGCCACTGGAAAGAAAGTAACTCAAGAGTATTTAAAGGGTCACTCTCCCAAAGTTGCCTTGATTGCTATAAATCAGCCTGCAGAGTCTTTATACTTTCTTGAAATATTCACTTTAAAACATTCTCTCAGGCCAGGACTGGTGGTACACACACCTTTAATCCCAGCACTCAGGAAGCAGAGGCAGGTGGATCTCTTAGTTTGAGACCAGCCTGATCTACAGAGCGAGTTCCGTGACAATCAGAACCACACAGAGAAACCCTGGCTGGAAAACAAACTCAACAACAACACAAAACAGTCTCTCAAATTAGCAGAGCACACTTCTCAAGTTGCCATCAAGAACTGGGGCTCCACAACTTCTGAAGGGGTAGCCTGGCGGTGTGGAGACAAGATTCTTCAAGGGATGCAAGGGAAAACAGTGTCTCGGAAATGATCATGAGAGAGTAGTGATTCCTTGAGACTTCTGTCTGTAATCCTATAAATATAAGTATCGGCATTGCCTTAAAAATGCTAATGACAATTTTAAATTTAAATAAACACACACACACACACACACACACACACCCTTACCCATTGCCACTGCCTTAGAAGCTCCACCTGAAAAGGGCCCCCCTATTTAACAAAATATACAGATGTTGGCAGGATCTGCTAGCCAGTGACAAGGGAGAGGAGCCACCTGTTTCTGCCTTACCTGTAATATACTCCAATATGTCCCTCTTCTATCTTGTGCACAGAAGAGAAGAGAGATGCACAAAAGAAACTGGAAGCCACAGCCACAACTGCTCCCAACTGAGCCATCAGTGAACCTGTATCCTAGAGATAAGAGAGGGGACAATGCATGGCTTGACATGTAGGAGAGAGGCCGAAGCACTGAGAGTAGCTCACCAAGCTGTAGTTCATGGAAAGTGATTCACAAGCAGACTGTTGTAGAAACACAATGCTAGCCAGATCTACATCTCATATCATCCTTGTTCTTGGTCAACATTCGGTTCCTTAATTGTGGGAGTATAATGCCCACTGCAGCGAACAGGCACTAGCTCCCTAGGCATACCTAACAGAGATCCGGTGCCAACTGGGCAGGGTTCAAAACACAGCCTTCTCTTCACTACTCATTAATGTGTTGTCACTGGAGCCACTTGTAAGTAAGGGAAGAGAGGCAGCTGCAGTGTGTTGGCCCAAATTACAGAGGATGTCAAATGACAGGCAGCTGCGGCTATGTATTTCTGGACAGAGCCTCCTACTTCTAATTGCCTGCCATTTCGAAGGAAACCATCAGTTATTCCCTTGGGACTCTGAGGAGAGAGACAGCAGGCAGTTGAGTTCCGAGGTAGGAATTCTCTGGCCTGTCATCTATCTTCCCAGTTATTCCCTTGGACTTAAACGGGTCAGATCTCTAAACAAAACTGAAACCGAACTCTCCTATATCCTTTGCCCCCAAGTGCGGTGGTTATAGGAAACTGGGAGTGCCTCAGCTTGGGGTACTCTGGGCTCCTGGAGGGTCCCAAACGTTCAGGCACCGAGATGCGACCGAGCGTCTGGAAAAACCATGGTGACGGACCGGCACATTGGCACAAGGCGCGGATTCCAACGCTCAGATCTAACTTATTTTTTTTTTTTACCGTGGCGGCCTCCAGCTGCCGAGCAACAGTAGCGTCCTCTCTGCAAATGCCCTCACCACCACCACCACCCCGCCCCACCTCGCGTGGACACACAGGGGTTCTCTCTGCTCCCGGGTGGGCGGACTGAAAGGGGGCGGCTGCGGGGTCCAGAGCTCTGGAGCTCTGCCAGGATCAGCTCCATCCCCGCGCCGCAGCGAGGCCCAACGTGCACTGAGGGGCGGGGGCTGCGTACCAGGCTGTCCCTCCAGGCGCTCCGTACACGTCTGAACCCCCGTGCAACCGCAGAAACCGCCACACCCCTCAGCACGCTACTTCCTTCCGGACCAGTCGCTTCGATGATGCCATCAATCCGCGCAAAACTCCTCCCCCTACCCCGGGTTTGTCCGCCCGCCCCGCCCCTCGCACGGCAGTGCTCGGCGGTGCCTCCAGGGGGCGCTCGCGAAACGACCCGGTGGCTGCAGGCGGACCTGGGATTGCAGGTCTGAGGATGCCCAGCGCTGGGAAAGTGGGTTCCCGACACCACGACTCTGGTATCACCTTCCGAAGTTCTGACTTTGGAGATGGCTTAGATACTCTCCTTCGATCCCGGGAGAGCTGGATTTCTTTCTGTTTTTCTTTTTCCGGAGCAGGTACCAGAGCGATGCAGCCTTCTCCTCCTCTTCTCTGCTTTTCTCTCGCACCAGCCAAATGAAAAAACTTCCAAATGTGCAGATTATGACGTCGCTAGTCAACAGCCCTACTGAATTGCTCTTTAGACTTTGAGAGCTTTGTTTAGCCTCGAGGTCCCCACAGCAACATAAAGTGATTAACAAGGAATTATTGCCCTGATTTTAATGGACGGAATCTGATTTTGTGAGGGGTGAGGCCAACAGCAGTCATGGAAAACTTCCTTTGCGTTTTCTTAATAGTCGGAGCTTCCTGTCTTGGTTAACACCTGCCACGGTGAGCTTGTGTCTGCCATCTGCACCTAGGGACAAAGTGGACCAGGAAGAGAACCAGACTTCATGTTTCCTAGACTAAGGTCTTCACGTGTTCTCACCCCGCAGCAGCGTGGTATTGGGACTTTCATATTGAGCCTTCTCTTCTATTTTGTTCTGGGGGTGGAACCAAGCGCTTTGTGGCCCCACTCTTTCTCCAAGCTGCTTCCTTAGCAGGGAATTTCTGAACCAGCCACTAAAGTCATTTTGTTTGCAGATTAGAAAGTGCCCACTTTAATATTAGCTTTAAGTAAATGAACAAAAACCTTTCCATACAGCAGATGGTCACTTGTCAAAGTTAGACGATTTTAGGACTCTGGAAAGAACCTCTCCCAAAGCCAAGGCCCTGAAACCGAATCAAAGTTCCGGGAAGCCAGATGTTTGGGGACTGCAGAAGAAAAGCAGCTGCCCCCAACCCCAGATGCCCAGTGGCTACAAAAGCAGACAACAGACCGTGTTGTCTCAAAAACAGCTTATCTGAGGGAAAGGGCTAACTCCCCATTCTGTCCCTAATGAATCCCCTCCTTGCCCACTCTTAGGTACAAACTCCAGCCTGAAGCATGGAATCTGTATTCCCCTGAACTCTGGTCATGGAGTGACTGGGTCCTGTGCCCTGATGAGGGTGTGGTCACAGCTTGAGAAGGCATCTCTCTGTCGTTAAAAACAAAAGCCTGCTTCAGCTATGTGAGGTCATCTGAATTCTCCAAAACCCAGGAAGGGCTTCCAGGGTATTACAGCCCAACAGGGCCCTTTCCTCACCTCTATCCTATCCCCTATCTCCAGTTTCAAGTTGCTTTCTCTATCAAATGCCACTCCACCTTAGTTAGTACTCACTAAGGCTAAACAGCAGGTCCCATCTAGGGCCGTAGCAGCCTCATTGATAGGTGAAGGGGGAGGGGGCTGGTTAGTCTGAAGTCTGTGTTGGCTGAATTGGTAAGTGTTCTTGCCTTTACCCTCTGAGGAGACCTGGAGTCCCCAGAGGCCTGCCTTTGCTATTTCTAGAACTACACCCCACAACATCTGCTCTCCCTCTTAACACACATGTGGGTAAGGATCCATTTGTTCACAGCAGCATCCTGGGAATTCGACTCTGCTTCAGGAGTCTTTCTTCTCTCTGGAAACTCTTGGGAATTTCATTCCAGTGAAACTTCTGTCCCTGGAGGACATTCCAGACCGGGAAACTGGCCTTGGCCCGTTTTTCAGACCTACAAACATGGCAATAGTCCCTCTGTTCCCAAAGGCAGTCCTTTGGCTTGCTTTAAAAATTTTTTTTTCAAACAATTGGGCCTCAAGTTAGATGTTGATCTGGACTTAATAGCCCCTTGACAACCAAAACTGCTGGCCTAAATTTTTCAGGTTCCAATCAACCATCTTGCAGGACCTCAACAAAATGTCTGCAATGAAATGGCAAATAGAGTTTCCCTATTCTGCCTCCTTCCACTGTAAGTCTAGGGGATCAAACTCAGTTGTCAGACTTGTAAGCCTGCCACCCCAACCCCCTCATCCCCTGAGCCATCTCACTATTCCTTAAGTAAAGGACTCTAAAGAGGATTTTATATGAACTGTGTCTTATGGATGGAAGAAGTTACCCTATGGGGGCTGTCCTTCTGTGAATGTATGTTTCACATACATTGGTTAATAGTTGGTTAATGAATAAAGCTGTTTTGGCCAATGGACAGGCAGGATGTAGCCAGGCAGAAGTATAGGTGGGGCTACCAGACTAGGAGCATTTTGGGAAGAGGAAGGCAGAGAGTGAGTGGTAAGGGAGATGCCATGTAGCTGCCGGGAAGAAAGGATGCCTGGGCATTCTCTGGTAAGCCAGGACCACAGATTAATAGATATGGGTTGATCATTAAGAGAAAGCTAGCAAATAAGAAGCCTGAGCCACCAGCCAAACAGTTTATAATTAATATAAGGCTCTGTGTGTTTATTTGGGACTGAACAACTGTGGGACCGGGTGGGGCAGAAACTTCCATCTACATTTCCCAGATGATTAAAAAGCTCACTTGGGGGAAAAGGATACTCTGACTGAAGATATAACATTTGTGATCGGATGGCATGTGGAGAAGAAGTTAATGAAATGTGGAAGGATGTTCTGACAGAAGTTACACAGCGCTTTCCTTTGAGGACAGCCTTGATTTAGAAAGTTCCCAGCCCTCCCTCTCAAATTACCCACTTCCCCAGTAAGACAGGATTTCTAAAGAGGCAGTGTGACTGACTTAAAGACATCAAATAGGAGGGATGAGGCACTAGCTGCTCTTGCAGAGGACCCTGGTTTGATTTTCCAGCACCCATAGGGCGGCTCACTGACATCTATATTCCCTGTTTTAGGAGCTTTGATGCCTTCTTCTGGACACCACGGGCACTGCACAAAAATGGTGCACAGACATGATTGGATTTGCTTTGCGCTGTATTTTTTATAGCCCACCTAGATCATCCTTTTTCTGCTCTCCTTCCTGCTGCCTGTCTTTCTACAAATGCTACATTTTCTGGACTTCCATTTCAGTCATTTTCTTTTGGAACTTCTGCTGCTCCTTGACTCTCTTCTCAGTGGATGGCTGAAAAGGTTCTGATGATCGGCAATGATTGTTTCCCCCTTTCTAGGGAGCAAAGGGCTCCTGGGAGAACATGGTGAGTGATTAGCCCTGAAGTAAGCTGCTGCTTTCTGCTGTTTCAGTTCTCCTGCCAGCCAACATGTCACCATTTTCTCTGGTGAACACACTCTTGTTCGGTGCAAAAGCTGGTGACTTGTGCGCAGTGAATAGAGGTGCCTTTGAGGAAACACACACAGTATATCCAAAGATCTTAGTAGGGCAATATAGGTGGAGTTTTCCTGTCCCCAAGCTGCTCTCAAATAAACACGTTGAGGCTTATATTAATTATATGTGCTCAGCCTATAGCTCAGGTCTATTACTAACTAGCTTTTACATTTTAAGTAAACCCATATTCCTTATTTACACTCCACTACATGGTGGTACCTTAATAAACATGACATGCTCATCTCCTGCTCCCTCTGTGTCTGGCTGGTGACTCCAGATTCCACCCTTCTTCCTCCCAGCATTCTCCTAGTCTGGTTCTCCTGCCTAACCTTATTCTGTTCAGCCATTGGCCAGTCAGCTTCTTTATTAAATCAATCATAGTGATGTATATTCACACAGTGTAAAGGAATATTCCACAGCAGGGCAAGATCTGGAATGAAATTCAAAGTGTTCATCCTCTGATTTCTTCTTTGACTCTTTCTCCTCAGTTCATTTATCAATCAAAACAAACAGGCTGGCGAGATGGTTTCTTGGCCAAGAAGTGCTCAGCCTTAAGAATTCTGGGGCTTTGAACTTGTTGCAGTTCCTCAGCCTCCTTCTTTGCTGTAATTTTGCGCATCACAGGCCTTGCTTGCTGTTTGGTTTACAGTATGGATGTCTGGGGACCTCATTCCTAAAACAGCTACTTATTCCTTTGCTGTCCCCACTGATTTCACCAAATTTTCATCTATGAATACTGAGGAAGATCCTGAAAATATAGACTTGTGGTTAAGCCAAGAGCACGGGTACTGTGGTTGGAGTTCCGCCTGCAAGGTAATAGGTATTAAATAAGTTCTCAGGAGCAAGAATTGGAGAAGAGAATGAGGATGCACCAGGGACAGTGGAGGTGGGGAAAAGGCGAACAGCTCAAGAGGCTTTCTCTAAAAGGTGTAGGCAACCTGTGAAGAAATCAGTGAGCCATACCAGCAAGGCGGATGAGTGGCTCCAGCCACATCCTAGGAATCAGGAGGGGAATAAGGAAGCGAACTTCATGTCTGAACTGTGAAAGCATCTTCCATCTCCTGCCTGAGCAACTAAGGATGTACTATAATTAAACCTTTCAACCTGTCCAAAGGAAGGGAAAGAACATTTGATGAAGCAGCTTCTACGTGCACGCCCCTTGCACAGCAGGTCCAAGACTTCCACAAAGGAACCCCTAATGGATAGCATCTGAGGAGTAAGAAAGAAGAGATAAGTGGTCCTGCTAACATCGAGATCTTCTGCGACCACCATCTCCATCAGACCCAGGAGATAAGATTCATCCAGACAGCTCCACGAGGACTACAAGGAGGTTAGATGCTTCGGGTCCATTTTCTTGTCACTGGACTCAAGACTGAGCATCCTGTCTAATGTAAACTACTAGGCCCAGTCTTATTAAACAGTGCCCTTTTGACTTAGATGATGTCAATAAGTTGTCACATGCTGTAAAAAGCTGGCTCTGGCAATGGGTTCTGACCCACCCACCTCAGACAAAAACATGTCTGCCTCAAAGTTTCCTCACAGACTAAATTATCATATTATACTTGCCTATATAATTTAGATCCAACTTTCTCTCATTAAGATGATGTTATACAATATCTTCTCTTTTTGACAACTGACATCTATATTCCTTCAGCTGTGCTTGCCTTAAGTGATTTGTTATATATTTGGATTTGTTATATATTATTAATCCTTCGCAAAAGAAAAAATGGACAAGGCCATCCCAGCCAATTGTATATAATTAGGCCCTGACTTCATAGGGCCTCACACACACACACACACACACACACACACACACACACACACGCGCGCGTGCGACTTAAAAGGGGCCTCCCTTGTGCAGGTAAAGAAAAACTGTCATACATAAATAGATACTGTTTAATTTTTAAATTTTCCTCCAGGGAAGATGTCTCACAACAGATAGTAAGTTTGTTAATCGTGTCTCAGAGTATTAAGAAAGGTTAAAATGTCTGAATGTTTCCAAAACTTGGACATAAGAAAACAAATAAGAGGTAATAGTCCTCAATGATTTCCTTTCTTTCTTTTTATGTACATTGGTGTGAAGATGTCAGATCCCCTGGAACTGGAGTTAAAGACAGTTGTGAGCTGCCATGTGGGTGCTGGGAATGGAACCGGGATGTCTTCTGGAAGAGCAGCCAGTGCTCTTAGCCAATGAGCCATCTCTCCAGCCCCTCCTGGATGATTTCTAATGAGGATTAAAAAGCATGAACAACACGGCTTGTCATGTAAGGCTATAGTTACAGAACAGCATTAAAGTTTTTAGTTCTGAGGACGCTCCCCCTGTGAGTTCTTGTTTACAAAGACTGTTCCCTCATCCAAAACCCATTGATATGTCTAAATCTCTTGTTAAGATGTAAACTCATCCACTCGGGATCTGTGAGACCAAACAAAACCATAAAAGTTTAAAACCAAGTCACAAAAAGTCCAAATAAGCTCCACAAGGGTTACAGAGGATGTCTTGAGGCAAGTTTGCTAATTCTTAAGGTGATAGTCGACTCTGTCCATGCTGACAAAAACCGACTTTAAAATGTATGTCTAATCACTTAGGTCTTTGTTAATGTCAGTTAAACTTTAACCTTTTGGGAAAACTGAATCACAACAGTAGCTGTGGTAATGATTAATTGTACATTTTTTTTTTAAACTATTTTAATTTTGTGTGTATGGGTGTTTTGTCAGTGTGAATGTCTATGCACCATGTGCATACAGTGCCCAAGGTATCCAGAGGAGGATCCTTTGAGACTGGAGTCACAGACAGTTGTGAGCCACTGGGTGGGTGCTGGGAATTGAACCTCTGAAGAGCAGCTGGTGCTCTTAACTGCCGAACACCCCCTCCCCTTCATTTTTATTCTTATGAAAACCATCTTGACTGTTCCCTTCTATTATTATATTTTTTATGATAAACACAAGCATGCTTAAACTGGGCAGTGGTCACGGACACCTTTTATCCCAGCACTCAATAACCTGGGTTTCAAGGCCAGCCTGGTCTACAGAGAAAGTTCCAGGACAGCCAGGGCTACACAGAGAAATACAGAGAAACCCTGTCTCGAAAAAGCCAAAAGGAATAAAAAAAAAGAAAAACTTGCTTGATGTCAAGATAATATCAAATGTTGACAATTCTAAAAAAATCTCAATTTAGATATGAAGCTCCCAGTTTCTCTATGGGTTGTAACTGTGGTTTAAAGTTTATTTTATTTTAGTACTATTTCTTCTTTTTGAGACTGGGTTTCTCTGTGTAGCCCTGGATGTCCTGGAATAAAGGACCTCCACCCTGGTCCATGGAAACCCCCTTTGCTCTCCATAAAAACCTCTGAGAACAACATGGGTACCACACTCTTCACAACCTACTCCTGGTAAAATCCCAGTCCTAGATGTTGGAGGGAGGATGCATTTACAGTCTGAGCTCTTCTCCATCCACTGACCATTGAGTCAAATTTCCAGCCCACTCCATATTTTGGTTATTTGCAGATGATATTGTGTAGGAAACTAGCTGGTTCTGAGACAAGCTACAGAAGCACATTATGAGCAAAGAGCCCCTGATACCTGTTGCTAGGCTTTGACTCTTTCATATCCTCCTAAGTTTATGTGTTTAGAGGTGGGGGCCTTGGGGAGGTGAACAGACTGTGTAGGCTCTGAGACAGTCAATGGCTCAGCTCACTGACAGCTTCCTAGATGAATGGGGTTGTAAGGAGGGGCTTTGCTATAAGCACTCACTGACCACCATGGTGAGCTGAGCAGCTTTGCTCCACTGTGGACCTGTTCCCTGCCACGATAATCCATGGAGCTAGTGACCATGGACAGAAACTTCTAAGACCATGAATCCAAATAAAGAGTGTTTTCCTCCTTGTGAGTTGATCATCTCAGGCATTCTGTTGTTTTTATTACAGATGGAAAACTGATGAACACACTTGCCATGACGCTATGGGAGAGTTTCTCAGTCTCCACACTGTTGTCATTTTAGGGTGGGTAACTCTAACTCTCCCCTCCCCACTCCTGACAAGTGTGGAGTAAGGAGCTTTCATTTGCAAATGTGGCGTCCATCCCTAGGAGCTAGTAGCACTCTGCTTCACCCAATTGTGACAGCAAATGTGTCTCAGGTTTTGCCAAATATTGGTTCATCTCCACCTCTGTGTATTGTCGCAAAAGTGTCCCAGAAGCATCACTGAGAGGTTTTAAAAGTGAGGCATTAAGAATAAGAAGGCAGCCTCATCCTGCAGGCTCCCTAAGTGTGACACATTGTACGGATGTGGCTTTGCACCAGCTATTTCACAAGGGCTGAGAATGGCTGAGATGTGGGCTTGTGCCCCTGGAAGGAATGTGTTAGCTTCCCAGCACTGTGATGAAAACACCTGAGATAAAGAACTCAAGAGCAAAGGTTTACTTTGGTTTGTGGCATCAGAGGTTCCAGTCTGTGGTTGCTGAGCCAGGTTGCTTTTGGCCTGATGGGTACAATATGTCATGGCAGGGGTGTGTGGTGGGAGGAGAGCAATGTGCTTCAGGCTTGTTGGGAAGGAGCCAGAGGGGAGAGCAAGGGACCAGGGCTCTAATAACCCCTCTGAGATCACTTCTCTAGTGACCTAACTTCCATGAAGCCTGGTGCTCTAAATATTTCCCCACACCCCACAGGCTGGTGACTGGCCTTTGGGGGCATATTGAAAACCCAAATCCACAGAGCCCAGAGGAGTTCTAGAGGAAGATGGCTGATGGGGAGGATGAGTTCCTATAGAACTCTGGAGAACAGAATCCACTGTCTAGGGCAGGAGTTTTCAACCTGTGGGTCCCAACCCCTTCGGCAAACCTCTATCACCACAAATATTTACATTATGATTCATAACAGTAGCAAAATTACAGTTATGAAATAGCAACAAGACTAATGTTACGGTTGGGGGGGTACCGCAGCATGAGGAACTGTATAAAAGGGTCACAGCAATAGGAAGGCTGAGAGCCACTGGTTGGTGGTTGGTAATGGGTAGGATGGAACATTTGTGTGATCAGCCCATCCTACTGAACCAAATTCCAAAGAGACGAGTCACTTGTTCCTTGGGAATATCAAGCTTGGGGAGAGGTTGGGCTGTAAATCCTGAGAAGGAAAGACTTTAATGCACTTGGAAATCAGGCCTGAAATACCCATAATGTTTGTCAGTCCACATCGCAGTGTTCTCAAGCAAGTGTACAGGGCGTGGGGAATGAGGTATGGCAGGTATTTGATTTAAAAAGCCTGCACAGATTTAATGTCCTGATAAAATGTATTAAATCTTTTAAGGTTTTAATGAATCTAGTATGTGTTTCATAAATCAAGAACTCTGCTAAGCCGTCTCCTGGTTTAATAAGAGCAAACTAGGAAATTGCTCCTAGCAGAAGCAAAATGCATTTATATCACACTGCAAAGTAATAGATTTTTACGCTGAGGGGGTCTTTCTGGGCCTTTTAAGCTGTTTGCTTACTACATTGCTCCAACTCCTTCAAATATTAAACCACAGGCAAGCATGTGCTTAACCGTATCAAGATGTGGGCTAGGACAAAGGTAAATATTATTTGTAAGAGGGAAGAAAACAAAACCAGTGTTTCCTTAACCCCCAGACAAGGACCGTCTTGATTTCTGAACTTAAACTTGGGTCTGTGGATCTCCAATATGGTGAGGGTTAAAATAGTTTTCTTCCCCCCTTCATTTCTTGGGGTGGCACTCAAGGACTTGTCCGTGTTACTAAGCCAGTACCCAGCTAACTAACTGAAGCAGGCCCCTTGCTTTAGAAATCTCTATGAATGGTTCTAAGCTTTCTCTCTCTACTCAGATTGCCTCTACCTCCTAACTCCCTTAACATATTGCAGGCGGACACGGTGAGTATGTAAAACCAGTCTTGAGATTTACAGCTGACTGGCGTGGTTGTCAAGGGTGATGGACCCGGATGCAGCTGTCCATAAAAAGCCTTCAGACAATCGTTGGCTTTTCCAGCGATGCTAGTGTCTATTCCTCTTCCTTCTTCCAGTACTACTGCTCAAGGTGGGTGGGGAGAGGCCTTGGGGACTTAGATATCTGTCACAGATGGGTATCTCCAGCAGGGCAAGTCAGTGCTGCACTACCCAGCGCCATTTGTAGATGGGCGAGGTTCTGGGTGAGATGGTGGTTGGGGAGTTGGGGGAGGTGGTGTTGAGGAATGAAGTGGGGGTGGGGCTTGAACATTCCAGTGCACAAAAGCTGGCAAGGCTGTGAGCTCTGCAGGGGAGGGAACGGGCTCCATAAAACTCAGTGTGGAGAAGCCTGTCCAACCTCATTAGCTGTCACGGGCAACAATACTGATCTGGCAATAAAGGCGATTCCAAACCTGTTGGTCATTAATCACCCGCCTGACAGTTGCGAATGCAAGTGGAAAAACTTCACCCCCTCTCCCTTACCCCCTCCCCTGGCCCACTGGAGTTTAGAGTTACCTCCGGGTAGATGTGTGGTTCCCTGCTGAGCCCTGGTCTCCTCTCCTGTGGCTGCTTTTCCAGGGCTCTTTTCGGTGTAAAGAGGCCACAGGATGGTCAGGGCCTGGAAGCTTGACAATGACCCTGCACGCAAGGACCAGAGGGGAATGAGAAAGTTGAAAGGGGTGGCCTCCAGAGCCTGCCTTGTACCCTTGACAGCCATAAGATCAGGAGGTTTGTTGTCAGTTCTCCAGGCCACCTTTCCATATCCCCTGGCTCTCTGGCACACCTTCTCGTATTCGGCCACCGAATGCCAGCACACTTTCTTGGCCCCTGCCTTCCACTCCCAAATAAGCGGTATCTATTCTCAGAAAGACTTCATCTCCTGCAACTTTCCCACTGCATCTTTTCCATTCCCAGAGGCCCTTTAGTTCCCAGCCTCATTCCTAGTAGGAGCATATGGTGAAAAGTGATGTCTGGTGTATGAGAGGGAAAGTGTGTGTGTGTGTGTGTGTGTGTGTGTGTGTGTGTGTGTGTGTGTATGTGTGTCTGTGTGTGTCTCTGTGTGTGTGTGTATGTGTGTGATGGAGGTGTGTACGAGCTCCTGAAGTCAACTCACAAGGAGAGCAACTTGGCTACATGCTCTGTGCCTCTGGGTTGGATGCACAAAGAAAGGGACCAGAGGAAGAAAATGGAGTACAGAATCCTTGTGGGTCATTTAGGAGACTGCCCGGCTCTTAAGGTTGCTTGCAGGCGCTTTAGGGCACTTGGGCCAAATTGCCACTTGGAAGGAGGACATTGGACTTTTGCTCAGTTTCACAGCAGGGAGAGGGACTAGGAGTGTGAGGGTTAGCCAAGACGTTCTGAAACGGTGGCCTCATATAGCTTACCATGCCAGGGCCCTGCTGGCAGGCATTGGAGAGTAAGCTGATCGCTAACACTAAGGAGGGGAGAAATTGCGACACAGTTTCCAGTGGCTGGAAATAGCCCTCCATTTCCCCACACCTTTCCGTTGCCTGGAGTTTCACACTGACCAGGGCCTTGGCTGCATCATTTGGTGCTGGTCTGCTCTGTTTGTGAACTGACTTCTTGCTATCCCTCCAAGTATTAGGTAGAGGACGGTAGCTTGTGACCACAGTTGATACATAGAGCTTCCTCTATGGGTAAATGGAGATAGATGGAGAGAGATGGTGAGGTGAGGATCATAGTACTTCAGGCCATTTCCCAATTCCTTACATACTTTTTATTTCTCTTGCCTCTTATGTTTTCTCTAATCCTATGGTTGTTCTTAACCCCAGCTACATACTACAGTCACTTTGGCGGACTTTTGAAAATATACTGATTGATGCCTGGGTCTTTTTTCCATTCCCACATACATACATACATACATACATACATACATATGTACATGCATACATACATAATACATACAAATGTACATATACACTTTAATTCTCTCCCCCCCCTCACACACACACCCCTTCCTTGCTTTCTCTCTGTCCTCTCATGCTAGGGATCTCCTCACCTGAAACATTTCTTTTTCTTTGCCTGGTCACTCATTAATACTCCTGCCTGCAGCGTGCATGTTTCTATTTACATAAAAGAAGAAACAAAAACTGTGGTTCTTAGCTGGGTAAATAATGTGCCTATATCCCTTAAAGAGATGATTTGATTATTTTAAACAATGTGTATGTATGTGGGTCTGTGTGTGGGATTGGGTACGTGAGGATCAATAGCTGCAGAGGTCCCAGGTGTCAAATCCCTTTGGAGCAAGAGTTACAGGCAACAGAGAGTCACCTCATGTGCATACTGTGATTAGAACTCAGGTGCTCTCAAAGAGTAATATGTGCTCTTAATTTCTGGGCCATCTCTCCAGCCCCCACACACTCCCTTTTCCCATGTGTTTTTACTTTAAAACTCAGCATGAAGCTCTGTGTAGGTGCTACAAAGCTGAGAGGGGAAAGAAGCAATGAGCAAACCAGGAATGTTGCACAGAGGAAGGGGCTTGGCACTGAACTTTGGAGGTTAGGATAACAGGGCAAAAAGAGGCAAGGGTGCCATAGCCCATGGGACAGCAATGGCAAGTGAGCAGGGGCTGGGATGTTTGGGCATGTGCTCGGCACAGGAGAGACAGTACAACTGACCAGGTAGAGGATTGCTCCAGTCCTTTCTCCTTCTTCATACTGACCTAGTTCCTCCTAGGTGTCCACAGAAGCACTGTGAATCTCCCTAGCCAAATGCTAGGGCTGTCCGTGAGCCCCTTCAGCGCTTCAAACTAATGGGTGTCTCTAGGTCTCTTAATCAGCTGTGTAAAAATGGAAAAGCAGGGGACATCCGCTGTGTTACACAAGTCAATACAATGCAAGTCAATCTGATTTAATCCAATCTAGTCCAATGTGGCATATATTTATTAAGTGCCCATTATGTACCAGTTCTAGGCTTTTGTGAGTCTACCTAA